ACCCAGCCATCAGAATGACCATATTTTCATGAAATAACATGTGTGCCATACAGTATCTTTGAAATCTGTGCAACCACCTCACATATGAGTTTGTCATGTTTGCCTATTCCTTGCACATTATATGTATGTTCATTATTTATGTGGATATACCATATGGAAAAATAAGGTTTTGTTAATATTTAAAAATATATACCACTCTTCTTTGTCCCCCTGTATACTATTTAACAAATATTAGAATTTCTAGAACTTTGCTGCAAAAAAAAAAAAGAATAAAACACATAGTAGTCAGTTTGGAACAGACTCATAGCTGTCCCTTCAGCTGGTTTTCTGAGGCTGTAAATCACAAGAAGGTTGCTATCCTTCTTTTGATCCGCCAGCGAATTTCAGCCAATAAAGGCCAACTCTTTGAGTTGGCAGCACAACTCCTATGGACTACCCTACTGATTGTTGTCGTGTACCATCTAGTCAGAACTGACCCAAAGCTGGCCCTTTAATGGGTTTTCAAAGATAGTAAATTGCATGGGAGGAATTGCCTGGTTTTCTGCTACTGAATTCAAATTGTGTTCCTTTGGAATTGCAGCACAGCTTCTTACCACTAGGCCACAAGAGCTAAACGCCCCACTGACAGTGGTGATTGTTGTGTGCTGTCAAGTCAAAACCAACTCATACCTGACCTTTCAGTGAGTTTTCAGAGGCAGTAAATGGCACAGGAAGAGATTGCTCATCTTTGTTCCTTTGAGCAGGCAGTAGATTAAAACTGCTTGCCTTTAGAATTGCAGTGCAGTTTCTTATCATTGGGCCACCAGACTCCCTGCACCACTGGCATACCGTTTATTTCTGAGGAAAGAAATAAACTAGATGATTTGTTATGCCCTTCCATCTCTAGTATTTCATTATTATTATTATTATTATTATTATTATTATTACTAGGGCGTAAGTGTAAAAGCTAGCTCCGTTATTAAACTCCACAGTGATAAGAGATTATAGATAGATGATAGAGAGATAGGTAGGTAGGTAGGTAGGTAGGTAGGTAGGTAGGTAGGTAGGTAGATGATAGATAGATAGATAGATAGATAGATAGATAGATAGATAGATAGATAGATATAGATGATAGATAAATAGATAGATTCGACTACATAGCCTCTGGCTTAGAGGTCCACAGAACCACAGCACCCAGACTCATGTCTGAAGAGCTGGCCTGAAGGTCCAGAGTGCCATCCTCACAGGTAGCACCAGATTATAGGCAGAAGTGACTGGAGCCTGAGGACATAAGGTTAGGGGGTATTTAGAGGCTTTGTTTCAGGTCTCTGTGGTGGGGAGTAAGACGACTAATTTGGAAATTTTTTAGTTCAGTTTTTATATTTCAGTTTTTTTTTTTTAATTGGGCAAGTGTATTTGTATGTTTCTGCTCTTAATGGCTTAGAAACATACATGTTTCCTTGTCTATCATCTGTTCTTTTGGATACATCACTTGTCTAAAAATGCTGTGCTTACATGGAACTCAAAAGTTAAGACAGACAAGGAAGAAGGATTGGTCTTCCACTTCTAAAATAACAGGCTTTTGTAAACTTAATAAACGGTAGAGCACACATTAGATATAGCACTGGAGGCTGAGGCTTCATATTGGGAAACACAAAAATGAGAAAGAAAAGTTACACACAGTCACTAAATATTGAAACATGGAGTGTATGAAGTGTGAATGTAGAAAAATTGAACATTGTTAAAAAAATTAATGGAATTCATAAACATGGAAATACGAGACATTGGCAAGGTGATATGGATTGAAATGACCACTTTGAATTAGACAGTCATTTGATCTATGGTGCTGGAAATGAAAAAGTGAAGAAAATTGAGTTTATGTTCATTATAAAAAAGACCATTTCAGTATCTATCCTGAAATACAATACAGTAATAATAGGATGTGATCAAAGAAGACCTATTAATATCACTACCATTTAAATATATGCACCAACAACTGGAGTTAAAGAAGAGGAAGATGTCAATCAACTTTCGCAGTCCAAAATTGATCATTCAACTAAAACTCATTAATAATAATTATTGACTGGAATGCAAAATTTTGGAACTAGGAAGGACCAGTAGTTGGAAAATATGGGCTTGGTGACCAAAATAAGGCTGAAGATAGAATGATACCGTTTTTGTACAATAATTTATTCATCACAAACACCTTTTATGAAAATGCCACTTTTGTAGAAAGTAACTGACATCAGGGTTGGGGTAAGACTGAGAAAAACTGGATAGATTATGTATACTGAATTGAAACAGATGAGGGA